CTGGCAGGGGCCCCGGCTGGGCTTGGATGAGCTACAGAAGCCAGGTGAGAACCCTGCGTGGTGGGCACACAGCACCCAGGTTGGGGAGCACCCCCAGAGACCTGCCAGAGGCACCCAGGGGGGACCTCAGGGTGCCAGGACTGTGGGCCTAGGAGAGCCCCAGCTTTGTCCCTGGGACTGGCAGCAATTCCTCCCCACTGCCCCGCAGCGTCAGTCCTCCCAGCGTGGTGAGCTGCCTGACAGCGGGGGAGACCCTCAGCTCCCTGAGGTGCTGCAGGCAGAGCCAAGAGGCAATGGGGGTGTTTGGCACAAGGTGCTCCAGGGTGGGAGGAGATGGAGGGGACCCAGGGAGTGGTGGCACGGCTGGGGACATGAGCCTCGTCCCACTGGGAGCACAGGAGGATGGCGTAGGGCTGTGGGAGCCTAGAGCCGTGCTGCGGCCAGCGTTTAACACTCTCTCTTGTCTCGCACAGAGCTGGGGTGCTGGGCCAGGGTCCAGTCCATCTGTGTCTCCCTTCTCAAGGTGCCCCTGATGTTCGGGTTCCTGTACCTCTTCGTGTGCTCCCTGGACGTGCTCAGCTCTGCCTTCCAGCTGGCTGGAGGTAGAGTGGCGAGGGTGTCTGGGCAGCTGGTGGCATCCACCGTGCTGGCACCCTGTCACTCATCCTCTCTTGCAGGCAAGGTGGCTGGGGACATCTTCAAGGACAATGCCATCCTCTCCAACCCAGTGGCTGGGCTGGTGGTGGGCATCCTGGTGACTGTGCTGGTGCAGAGCTCCTCCACCTCCACCTCCATCATTGTCAGCATGGTCTCCTCGGGGCGTGAGTACGCCTGGGGGGCTCCCGGAGACCTGAGGCTGGAGGACAGGGTGGCTGGATGGAGTCACCCTGAGCCAGGCCGTGCAGGGCTAGTGGGTCTCTCTGTCCCCAGTGTTGGAGGTGCGCTCTGCCATCCCCATCATCATGGGCTCCAACATCGGCACCTCTGTCACCAACACCATTGTGGCCCTCATGCAGGCTGGCGACCGCAGTGAGTTCAAACGGTGAGAGCTGGTCAGGACAGAGGGGCCTCGGGGGGCTGGGGGCTGCTCCCTGGAGGCCACCCCATGCTGATGGGCTC